CTGTGTCTCCTGTGTCCCCAGCCATGTCCCTGCTGTCCCCAGCCATGTCCCTGCTGTCCCCAGACATCTCCCTGATGTCCCCTGTCCCTGCTGTCCCCAGCCATGTCCCTGCTGTCCCTCCTGTGTCCCCAGCCATGGCCAAGTACCGCAGTCTGCTGGAGGAGCTGGCCCAGAACAGCCACGTCCCGCATGTCCCTGATATCCCCTCTGTCCCCTGTGTCCCCTCTGTGTCCCCAGCCATGTCCCTGATGTCCCCTGTGTCCCCAGCCATGGCCGAGTACCGCAGTCTGCTGGAGGAGCTGGCCCAGAACAGCCACGTCCCGCATGTCCCTGATATCCCCTCTGTCCCCTGTGTCCCCTCTGTGTCCCCAGCCATGGCCGAGTACCGCAGTCTGCTGGAGGAGCTGGCCCAGAACATCACGGCCGAGGACCTGGAGCAGCTCAAGTCCGCGTGTCGCGAGGACATCCCCAGCGGGGAGGGGGACGCCATCGCCACCGGCCACCACTGGTTCGCCTTCCTGGAGCGCCACAGCAAACTGGACCGAGGTGTGACCCGGGGACACCCCGTGCCACCGGCACTGTCCCCTCCCCGTGCCCCGGGGCTGCTCCAGCCTTGGGCCGGTCCCCATCCCGGTCCCCTGAGCCCTGTCCCCAGTCCCGGTCCCTGTCCCCTCTCCCAGTCCCTGTCGCCTCTCCCGGTTCCTGTCCCCATCGCCCGTGCCCTTTCCCAGTCCCTGTCCCCAGTCCCAGTCCCTGTCCCCTCTCCCTGTCTCCTCTCCCAATTCCTGTCCCCAACACCTGTCCCCTCTCCCGGTTCCTGTCCCCTCTCCCTGTCTCCTCTCCCAGTCCCTGTCCCCAATCCCAGTCCCTGTCCCCTCTCCCAGTCCCTGTCCCCTCTCCCAGTCCCTGTCCCCAATCCCAGTCCCTGTCCCCTCTCCCTGTCCCCTCTCCCAGTCCCTGTCCCCAATCCCAGTCCCTGTCCCCTCTCCCTGTCCCCTCTCCCGGTTCCTGTCCCCAATCCCGGTTCCTGTCCCCTCTCCCGGTTCCTGTCCCCATCGCCCGTGCCCTTTCCCAGTCCCCTCTCCCAGTTCTCGTCCGTCCTCCTAATCCCCGCCCCAGTGTCCCCGTCCCCTTTCCTGGTTCCTGTCCCTGTCCCTGTCCCCATTCCCATCCCTGTCCCTTCCTCATCCTGTCCCACTCCTGTCCCGATCCCTGTCCCTGTCCCCAACCTGTCCCTCCCCTGTCCCCGTCCCTGTCCCTTCCTCATCCTGTCCCTCTCCTGTCCCGTCCTTATCCCTGTCCCTGTCCCCATCCTCATCCTCATCCTCATCGTGTCTCTGTCCCCTGTCCCCATCCCGATCCCTGTCCCCGTCCCCATCCCTGTCCCCATCCCTGTCCCTGTCCCCATCCCTGTCCCCATCCTGTCCCTCCCCTGTCCCCATCCCTGTCCCCATCCCTGTCCCCATCCCTATCTCTGTCCCCATCCCTGTCCCCGTCCCTCTCCCCATCCCTGTCCCCGTCCCTCTCCCCGTCCCTGTCCCCATCCCTGTCCCTCCCCTGTCCCCATCCCCGTCCCCTCTGGGCCCCGGCGGCCGCAGCGCGGGTGGCCCGAGCCCAGCACGTGTCCCGTGTGTGTCCCGTGTGTGTCCCGTGTGTGTCCCCGCGCTGTCCCCGCGCTGTCCCCGTGTCGCAGACAACCTGTCCTACATCGAGCACATCTTCGAGATCTCCCGCCGGCCGGACCTGCTGACCAAGGTTGTCCAGTACCGCACGCAGGTGCTCAAGATCTCCGAGGAGGACGAGGTGGACACGAAGCTCACGCGCATCCCCAGCGCCAAGAAGTACAAGGGTGAGACCCCTCCCCAAAAAAAAACGGGGACAGGGACAGCCGGGGACCCCCAGGGACACCCGGGGACAGGGACAGGGACACCCGGGGACCTCCAGGGACACCCGGGGACAGGGACAGCCGGGAAC